CAGCTGTGGATTTCAAGTGTCAGGTTTGCTTTTTCACTGCCTTTGAAAATTTCCTCTTTTTTTGTACTTTTTTTTTTTAAATATCGCTTCCCTAGCTTTAAAAATGGCTACGACAGTCATCGGTCAATTTTACAGCCACAAATTATTTTCTGCATTTTATTGTTACACGAGCGGAATCGAAAATGAAGTCAATTTAAAATTTCTCGATTTGCGTTGAACTGTTTGAATATTTTCCTTTGCTTTAGTGCGAAACATATTTTTGGGATAAGTTCTCTGCAGTTTGCATGCATTAAAGACTAAAGCGCAACTAAGATATTTGTTATTAAAATCTTTTTCAGAAATTCTCCTTTAGAATAACTAAATATATACAATGCCGAAGGTAAACTTGCTTTGGCAAGTATTTAATAATTAAAGTGTAATTCATATTAAGGACAGCGATTAATTTTTCCCAGGGGTTAATACAACTTATCGCAACATCATTTTTTAAATTGACTGACTATATAATAATACCAATATGATGGCAGCAATCTGAAGTCGTAAATATTTATAATTGGTTATTACTTGCAGGACGTGTACGACATGTGACGATAAATTGATGTTGAAATTGATTTATTCATCTTTTTTATGAAATTACATTGATTTGTTATTTACGTAACTGGTCGGTCAATGGGCTCTTGTATTGATTGGATAAATTTTGTATTTCCAGTCGTGTTCATGCTTTCCTCAAGGCTCCTTGCTTTCTTTAAGCAACTCGCAATTACTTAATTAATGCTTTCATGTAATGACGAATATTGTGATCGGACGCGAGCTGAGGAAATAGGAGAATTTAATGTAAAGCGGCCGAACATATAGGCATTCTTAGCCTTACTATATGGTCTTTATAGTCCAGCTTATAAGAAAAACAATTTTTTTCTCGGGGAAATGCAATTCCATCTATTGGGAGAACAAATTACTTCGGTCCATTTTTTAAGAGAAAATACAAGTAATGCTGTGGCGTGCCCAATAACACTATGACTTCTTCATTCAAAAGTACTAGTCTTTTAACCAAAGGCCGTAGCTTATCACACTAAAGCGTACGCAATATAGTTCCTTCAAGTTTCCCATAGATGCTGTTCTGTGCCAAGAACACACCATTTGCGGGGATCTTTCCTTTTCCTGCTTAATTCTCAAGATAATGCTGCCAAATCATTCAGAGTGATGAACTGGGGAGACGTTGTAATGTCCAAATCTCAAATAACTTTGACACAGAATAAACCAGCTCTTAGCATCGACGATAAAGCTGAATATCTTTGACAGCCCCACTTAACAAGGCCAGCTGGATGTGCTATATTATGGTTTATGTTAACCAAATGTATTCACGACTAAGTAGTACTCGCCAAAAGGAATAATTAATGCATGATGATATGGTAAGATTTCATTATGAAGAAATTTGCTCCCATGCCGCAGAACTGCTCCAGGAAATTTGGAACGTCGTACCCTTCCGATGTTATTATTAGTTTTTACTCCTTCCGATCGTCAGGGGTTTTAATAAATCATTTATTATGTGCTCGAATGGTGCTCTCACCTTTGTGGCGGATCTTTTGATGAGACCTTCAAAAGGCGAGACATTCTTTCGAAATGAAATTCGAAAACTGCTTGAGAGGTGGAAAAAGATAGTAACTACCGATGAAATAAATGCATTTTTGATCTAGCAAGTGAAGTGTGATCCTAAAGTAAGTGATCCTTCTTAACAATAGAAAAATCATATCTATAACCTACACATTAAAGACAAAGATAAGAGTAACAAAGGCTAAAAAATGACAGGTTGTTAACTTGAGTGTTGCAATAACTTGTACAAATAAACGTTAAATTTATGACATATAAATTTTTGAAGCCGTATGAAGAGTTAAGTAAAACATATGTATATATGGGTATATACATTTAAAGTCTAATGCAAATGCCATCAGTAAATGTAATGAAATTGAGTTAATATACTTACAGAATTTAGCAAACTTCTTCAACAGGCTGGATGACTTAAATAACAACGAACAACGAACTTTACTGAAACCCTCAACAGTTATGCATGACTGACTGCCAGCACACCAATCTTTGCATAGCTTCAGCAAAGGAGTAAAATGATGTGGAAATTAGCAAAAACATTATTTTTTTTTGCAAGCACAATAATTCTGTGTTACTTCCTTCAGAGATACATAACTTGTATGCTTTCAGATAGAAAGTTTTATTTAAAACATTTGCTTATCTTTCATTTCAACTGTCAAACTCACAGGAACAGTCAAAGCAAACACATTTCCCGGAAATAAACTAATTTAAAAGAAAAACAAGTAAGGAAATTATATTCAGTTGCGACTGGCCCTTCATTCTCGCTCCGCCTTTATCATAAGAGCACGAAACGAAAAAGAAGACATTTTTGATACTCTTTACTGTTGGATGGGCGCGATCGGATTTTTTGCATTTTCTACAAGTACCGTAGGGTCATTCATCGAATGATCTACACGCGTAAAAGCTTTGAAGCGACGTATCTGTTGTAGTTCAAGAGTAGTATGCGAGAAAACGATTTTTTTTTTGTTATGCATTGCGGTTATGTCTTTTGACGGATCCGGCCTATTTTTAGTAGTAACTTTCATGCAAGAACTTGCAATAATTTCGTTAACATTTGAAAGTGCATAATAGAGGGAAGCTTTCTCCTGGCTGCTGCTAACCATTCGAGAAAATCAAGAGAACACAATGCTATTTGATGTCGAGTACAGACGTTAAATTATTTCTACATTTAGCAGCAACAAGTGATAGAAATAGAGAGACAAGCGATTTGTTGGATGGCAAAAAGGAATTTCCAATGCAGTGCATTCGCTTCCTATTACGTCGAAATTATTTGCTCTAAAAAAAGCTGCCCAATCTCATTGGCAAAATTTTTTGTTCATAAAGAAAAGTTAATCATTTTTCTTCGTAAGAATAAATGCAAGAGAACAAGTATGAGATTTAAATCCATTTTCGGTCCACCTAATCCTTGCTTTTTATGCTGATTCGGTGGTCTCTGCCAGTTTTCTGGCACTGGCAAATTTGGATAAAATTTCAGTAAAATTAGCATAAAATTATTATAATATTTAATGGTCGACATTATAGAACTTTACATGCTTCCTGCTGCATAAAGCATGCTTCGAGTTCTCAGGGCTTCAGTTGTGCAGGGGTTGAATTTACCTGCATGGTAACTCATCTTCAATTAAAACTAGTATTCTAAGCTTATATTCCGAGACGAAAAGCACCGGAATATTTTCGGCTGAAACATTTGTTAGTTCTTTTATAGAAAAAAAAAGAAACGCTTCTTTCAAGAGAAAGATAAAAATGTCGTTGGCAAAGAACTATTTATGTAAGCATTCATATTAGGGATGTCGTCATGAGAATGGAAACGTGACTCAAGGCAAACAATAAGTCAACAATTGAAATAGTTAGAATAGTTAGATAATTATCAGACGGAGGAAGATACATCAAGTTAAATAGGAAAAGTAACTTTGTCTGCTTTTGGTGCTGCTTTGGCACCAAACTCGATTTACTCGATTGTGTTGTGTGTGGACGCTCCCGTATCGTCGCGTAACGCTTAAAGCCAGTAATTTTTCTTGGTGAAACCACCGTCTGAGAAATACTCGCATCTCCTAGAAGGTTCGTTTTGTTTTTTTTTTTTGTTTGGATAAAGCAAAAAAACATTTAAACCGAACATTTAAAGTTCAAAGCTAATATCCCCCTTTTTTATCTTTTTACTTTTTATTCAATTAAATCAATAAGAAAAATTACCTGTAATTGGAGTGAAAGTGATAAATAAATATGTATATCCTTAAATATATAAAGGAATTCGCATTAATTTCTGTCGTTGTTCATAATAAATGTTAACCTAATTTTTATTTTTCTCTTTATGCAAAAATTAAATGCAAAATGCTATGCAAATGCATTGCTATTACAAGACTCTTTCTGGGCTTGCTTTTAACATAAATGGCAAACGCACCGTTGGGATGTTCACATTTACTAGTCTCTTAGCCGTCCTTCAAGTAAATCTACAGCAAATTTAATGTATGCTCAAGAAAGCAAATTAATAAACCAAAAAGAAATATAAATAAATAAAAGAAAAAAATCTTTTAAGGAAAACGTAATGAACGCAACTTCCGGCATCTTCATGTAATTTCTTTTAATCAAAAAAAAAAAATAAAAATAAATAAATAAATAAGCAAAAAATACATAAGAAGACAATAATAAATAAGAGGATGTGTTGTCTTTACCATGGTTGCGTATAAAGCAAAGATTTCTTGATTTAATTCTGTGCTTTCATAAAATCCCATTTCAAGCTATTATTATCGTTACATCTATACATTTCCGAACTTTATTTAGCCAGTATCTTGGGGTATGTATGTAAATAGGAAATTGAAATATTCTTCTCTCTCTTTCTATACGTAGCAAATAGATTACCTTCATTAGGAGTTTAATTGTGTTTGAGTTTACCCTTTTCGGCTAAATTATGATTTGTGTGAAAGCAACATTTCTTTGCCCATTCTTGACATTCCCTTGATCGTAAAAGTCAATCATATGATTTGTAAAGTAGAGAGTAATCGATTAGGAACAATAGCATCGTAAACTTGAAAGTCGACCCCATTCGTGCTATTCGCACAATTATAAATAATTTAGGGAAAGAAATAGGAAGCTGAAGATCAGTTATTTCGTTTTACTGTACGATCGAGAGTAATCTGAATAGCAAGATACCGAGAGATATATACTTTAGAGGGACGCAATAGTATTGTAAAGTAGCAGAAGTATAAACCATTCGCCCCTTTCTCTAACCGTGGCATTCATCCAATTATCAAGATTAATATCAATTTATAGAACCGGGGATAATAAAAGCTTTTATAGATTGTCTTTATTCACTCCTAAGGCAACAGGAATGAATTGCAGCCAAAGCCTTGAGTTAAATATAAAAATTAAAATTTTCAACTATTTGTTTTAATGCTTATCAATTCCAGGTGGGCCAATTATCATGGCAAACTATGTACAACATCACCGATCACAACAACAACAACAACAACAACAGCAGCAGCACCAAAAGCAAGAGCAACAGCAACAGCAACAGCAACAGCAACAACATCAAGAAAAACTTACATGTTTGGACTTGACATCAATAAAAACTAAACAATGTCTTAAAAAACAAGAATGCTGTAAAAAAGCAGCAAAACAACGCCGAACGTCCTTCTGCTCCGATCCATCCACCGTTAGCTACTATCATCGGCATCAACAACAAGAAGCAAAAGTTTTTCTCACAAAATTATCTAGTGCACAACACAACAATGGTGGGGTTGGCTTTAGTTTGTCGAAAGGTTGGCCTTTCCATTTCAATTCGTCAATAGCTTTGTTGCAAGTTTTTCTTCTCGTAAACGCTCTCAGCAGTCATGTTGCATTTGGTGAAGGAAATGTTGGTAAGTTTAAAATAATTATTACTTTTTTTTTTTTTCTTTTTTTTTTTTTTTCTTGATAACTCACTAACCGACGCTAAATGACTTGGAAAATTAACTAAGTGTTTTCAAGCAATACTTTTCATGTAACACATTTCAAAAAAAAACACTTTTCAAATATCATCTAACGAATAACGCATTTCGACAATAAATAGCAATAGTTTTCAGTTAGTGCCGATCAAGTAAAACTTCTCAAGCACCGCTCCTCAAGTAACGATTTTCAAGTAAAACTTCTCAAATAACAGAGTTTAAGTAGTGCTGGGTACAAAAATTCGGCCCTAATCGAATGTTTTGATAGGTATTTCTTACGTGTCTTTTGGGATTACTGCGTTACCGGCTACCACACTACGGGCACAACGCTCTGCAAAGCTCAAACTGCAAGTAGATTGTTACTCGCGGTAACTGCAAGATGATTGTTACTCCCTTTTGACCTAATGCAACATAATCCAAACACGAAATTGTTCCACCAACAATGCTCTTCAAAATTTGCTCATTTTAAGCTCATTCATGTACAGAGTAAGTTTAATCAGTTCAATAGCGAAAAGCAAGATTTTCTTCTTGAGACCACAATCTTTACGGCCGGTTAGACAGACGGAAATGACAAATTGATTTAACTTTGAGAGAAAAATTTTGTACAAGACGAACGAATGAAATGAGTGTCTTCGATTATTGGTATAGTGCTGTGCGAACAAGACGTTAGAAACGATGAATATTATGAAAATTTAATGAATTTTGAAAGAGAAATCATTTGCTTTTGAAATGTAAAACAATACGAAGAGCAAGAGGAAGAATGTTTTGAAAAATATATAAAATGAGTTGTGCAACAGATACTTAAGGGAAGATTTTAATGCATTTGAAAAAAATTCCATTGAAAAAAAAGGAAAAAAATGGAAATTTTTAAAAAAACGAAACCAAGTAATAAATTAAAGTCCTGTTGAAATGAAATTGTAACGAGTTTGCGGGAAAACGAAACACAAGCAAAAATGCGATAATTGGCAAAGCGGCAACAACAATGACAACGAAACAACAACTAATTATCAATTTAATTTGTGCGAGACAAGAGAGTAATAATAAAAATACATATATACAAATATACATACATAAATATAAATAGATATAAATTTCCATTTTTTGTATGCGAACTAACTACCCTGCCGGCTTGGCAGGGGGTAGGAAGGAAAACTTTAACAACAAGTTATAATAAAACATTATTATCGGTGTTTGAGCTGATTTTCATTCATTTCACTTTTCCATTAGACATGCAGAGAGAGCATAATAAAGCCACAGTTTATTGTTCGTTCATAACAGTCAAAGTGCCGTTATTCAAATCACAATTGAATAGAGAAATCGATGAATACGGTATGAGTAGGTGGAAGGATAAAAAAAATGAAGCATTTTGTTGCATATTTTTCACAAAATATTATATATATACATGTATATATCTATATATATATACATGTGTGTATATACGTGTGCCATTCAAAATGATATCTCTCTGTGTTTGTCCTTCTTTCTGTTTTCATTCAGCGTTACTGGGAAAAATATTGATTCGCCACTACCCTAGCACGGAAACAAACACGCGCGCGTGCACACGCACACAGTCAGATTCATACATGTATATCCATGTATTTCCTGTGAAAAGTTTTCTTTTCGAGTGAAAAATTTTCAACTGCTGTACGCGTTATACACATAAACACGGATTCGTATGCTGTGCATAGAGAAAATTTTAATAAAGAAAGTCAGTTAAGAAGTTACAGTTTATGAAACTGATGGCAGATAAAGCAGAGTGAAGTAGAGTAAGTCAATAATTCAAACCATAACTCTCTGAATCCGCCAAAACGAACATCATTTCATTTTATTCAAAAATTTTTCTCCACTTTCCCTCACTCGAAAATACTGATACTGCCACCAGGAACTACACTGAGTTATTAATATTTTCATAAAATATTTTACTTGACTTTTTCATCTCTCGCTCTCGTGCGAGGTTTCTTTTTCCGTTGCTTGACTGGATTCGACATTTTTAAGGTCTGCCTAACATTCCTAACTATTGATGTGCAGTATGTTGCCTGGGTTTTGACCACTTTTGCTAAAGAATGCTAAGGATAGAACTTTATAAGTCTCTAATATATACGTATACCTGCAGGTAAGGATACTTAAATATGACGAGTACTTTACTGCAAGAATATATGGACAACAAAGCCACACGAACAGTTCTTTTGTCCTCAATGTGACCGCAGTGGTTTATAAAAGAGTGGGTCCTCAACTCGATACTCGTGTTTATTTAAAAGGTGTGCAAATAAATTCTGTAAATTTTTTGATCAAAATCAAATTTAATTAAAATAAACTAATTCCAAAGCTTAATAATCGAGATACGCACAGTTACTATATACGGCGTTTTGCCTCTTATCAGCTAGCAGAGGGCAGGTGACCTTGCGGCGAAATAGACATAGGCCCCTTTTTGCTCATCTTCAACTTTCCGGACCAGTTTTTGTGCTAACTATGACATTATCGATTTGAACCAGTGAAAACTAACAGATCTGGAGAGTGCGTCGCAATCGGTAGACGATGCCGGCCTAACATGGAGATCAGTTCCTGGACTGCGTTTGCCAGAGACGGACGGAGGTATGCGAACGTTCATTACTCTTAAGAGTACAATTTTTTACAACAAATCTCGCAAATCACTTACTAACCGTTTCCTAGCTGAGGGCGTTACCACTAAAGATCACTTTCGTAGCTTCAGCTGCACTTTTCCTCAACGATAATTCTTTACACATTAGGAAGCAATCAATTCTAATTTACGGAATTTATTTACACACCTAATAATATATCTTTCATAACAATAATGTAATGGAAATAATTAGAAAAGCAAAAAAGACTTTAATAAATATTCAGTTCTATGTAACAATCCGGATCGCCCTTCCACTGCTGGATATACTAATTGCTTTATAGACACATAATTTTGCTTTTGATTAATAAATGAATATAATTATATAGTTTTTCAATAAAAACATATGCAAATGTTTAAAATTAATTAAAACTAATTAATATTAAATATTTCAAATTGCACACTATATATATATATATATATATATATATATATATATATATATATTGTACATATATATCTATCTATCTATTGTATTTATATATATATCGTCCCTCAATACCATACCATACCAATGGCTTCGTCAATAATCACAACTCTTATTTGTCATCGAGTGCCCTTGTTGAACGGCGTGCTGTATGCATATATACAGATTATTACTTCTTTCTATGGATTGAACCCTTTTATGATGTGCTTTTTTTTGCTGCACTCTAGATTACCTATGATTTTATTCTCATCGCTCGTTTTCTTGTTTGGCCGTTAAGAGCTCATCACTTTGAACAAAATCTTTCATCAATATTCCGTCCCCTACTATTTATAGAATTTATAATTTATAATCTTCTTCTTTATGTATTATTATTATTTTTGTTTTTACGAAAAATTTGTGACTACGAAGAACGGTTGGAACTACCGTAAACATTTCTCATATTTGGCATAAAGACATTTATTGTAGTTTATAAGTAACGAGCCAAAACCGAAACTGCTCGTATTCTTGAAAACAGAGTTGGTCTCAGATTACGTTGGACTCATGATTGTTGACCGGTTTACTCCCTTTCCCATAACAGACTATGTGCAAGAATTTTTTAATGTTTCTACCGAATTTGAAGCCGATTTCTACATTTTTGCGACCACGATAGTATTTACCCGAACGGACAGACGGATATGCTTAAATCGGTGCAGAGTTCGATGCTGATGAAGATTGATTTGATGTCTTAAGGAGTCGGTGGGTCTTTCGAAGTAGCGCAAAATTCCTTACCTAACAAAATTTAATCCAAGTAATATATGTTGATAAGGGAAAATTAACTTTCTATTACTCGTTCAGTACAGCGTAGCACTATATATAACTATATAGCAGATATATTTTGTAAACATTTTTTATAAAATTGTTTGCCGCGTGTAGATGTGCGTACATCAAGCAGAATAAATAATGACTTGAACTAAGAGTTAAATCCTTTAATATATTGTTAAAAAGTGTTATTAGAATTGTGGCTTAAATTCGTGTTATTTATGGGTCCATGGTTGGGTACATTTTGTATTCTTCACAAAAGTAAAAAAATAATGAAAAGACACACGGACCTAAGTCGAAGTTATGTTATCATTTCGTTCGCTATTGCTTGAAACTGAAAATCTTTTCATTGGATTGAATTTGAAATGAAAACACTTGCGCACTCTCTGTTCCCCATGCATCTAAGCAACGGGTAGCAAACAAGCAAATATATGAATAGAAGAGATACGGTGCATCCAACTTTGTATTGTATGTATGTATGTGCACCCTTCACGTGTATAAACGTTTTATACGAATAATCTACAATCACCGACGTGTTGAAGAAAATTTTCGCCTTAACATCACAGAAGTATTCATCACACTGTTCTATAAAATATCCATACGGCTTACGGTTTTTTTTATATATAGTTCGACAATTTGAAAGAATTGTAAGCAATCAAGTTGAAATCGTTGAAATGTACGAGGTCGAAGATATGTTCACAGATTTCAGCGAATGCTCGTGTAGTCAGTCAGCAGGCAACTTTTTTACTTTTGTTTTAAATTAGTTTCAAGCGCTTGAAGTTGTTTTCCATTTTTATTAACCGTAGAGAGTATTAAAGATATGAAAGCATAGAAACGCACTTTAAAAATTCCATAGAATGCGTATCGTCTATCTTAGTGAGTACTAGTGAATAACAAAAGCTGGATATATACTCTCCTCGTTCCTTTTTAGTGAACTAAGAAACTGAATTCAGAACTTTGCTCAGAACAAAATGAATTGGAATTTTTTTTATCGTTTTTGATATCGCCGGCAGGTGGTGTCGTTCAAAAATTTCCAAAAAATTCAAGAAATTTTTTGTATACAAACAGATAGTT